CCAACAACACCAAAGGCCCTGGTGTAATGTAGATGGCCAGCAGCACAGGCCCTGGTGTAATGTGGATGGCATCAGCCAGCAGCACAGACCCTGGTCTGGTGAAGATGGCCTCAGCCAGAAGCACAGGCCCTGGTGTGGTGAAGATTGCCTCACAGGGAGCACTGGCTGTGGTGAAATGTGGATGGCATCAGCAACTAGCAGAGGCCCTTGTGTATTGTAGTTGGCCTAAGCCAGCAACACACGACTTGGTGAAATTTAGCTGGCCTCAGCCAGTAGCACAGGCCCTGCTGTCGTGAAGATGGCCTCACAGGGAGGACTAGCCCTGGTGCAATGTGGATGGCCTCAGCCAGCAATAGAGGCCCTGGTGTGGTGATGATGGCCTCACAGGGAGCACATGCCCTGGTATAATGTGGATGGCATCAGCCAGCACCACAGGTCCTGGTGAAATGTAGATGGCCTCAGCCAGTAGCACAGGCTCTGGTGTAATGTGGATGGCATCAGCCAGCAACGCAGGTCCTGGTGAAATGTAGATGGTATCAGCAAGCAGCACAGGCCCTGGTGTGGTGAAGACGGCCTCACAGGGAGAACTGGCCCTGGTGTAATTTGGATGGCATCAGCCAGTAGCACAGGCCTTTGTGTATTGTGGATGTCCCTCTGATAGACTCATTTCTAATTGTGTCCCTGTTGGTCACTCCCAATGAAAATCTTAGCATCTTTAACTGCCAAGTCCAGCTTTTGTGGAGAGGGTAGGCAGTATGGATCAAAGATCTGCAACTCCTAAACTACTAATCCTCTTTAAATTAAAGCTACGCAGTCAAATGAAAATGAAAACAAACTGCTGTTATTGTGAAAATCTGCTCTCCTTTGGTTTGCTCTCCACAATTGTCCAGAAATTACAGAAACAAATTGTCACTTCTTATTTTTCTTGTTAACAGTGAATCTCGGTGTGTGTCAGTGAATGCATCGTGTGTGCTGCATCGCTCCATCTAGTGGCCTGATAGTAGAGCAGCTGATGCATTAAGCTGACACTGAGATGAAGCAGGAAAGAAGCAGCTGATATTTGGACAGCACACATGATGGAAAGGAGGATTTCAGTTGATGTGCACATGAATGATTTGTGTTTCCTCTGCAGGTGAAGGTAGAAAGTGTGTGTGAGCTGATGTGAATTGAGCAGCATGGATCAGTGTGAGGACAGAGAGGAGGGAGTCCCTCCCTCTAAAACCACTATGTGTGGGGAACATGAGAGCCAGACCAAAGCTCAGAGGTGAGATGAACATCTCTAACTGTCCATGACTCTTCTCCATGTCACAGCTCAGCACTCACATTACTGCTCCATCATTATTCACAGGAACCCACCTGGGCCTGAACTGTGGCGGGAGTCTAAAGAAGACCTCGATAACTTTAAAGTCCAGCCTATGTCTGGTGCAGAGAGGTGAGCTGTTAGTAACATGAACTCTTTGATGTCAGTTTGGTGTCTGGTTTAAATGAACTGCTTGACGTTGTTTCCTGATTTCCAAACTGCATCTCAAACAAAGTCACTACAAGGAATTCCTTTATCCTATAAAACATGTCCAACATTTAAACTCCTACAGCTTACTGTATGACCATCAATAGTCCTGCACAGCATAAATGACTGTTTATATCTGGGTGGCGCTCTGTTCTTACACTGTCAACACTAGTTTGGAGTTTCCTTCTGCTCATGCTCAGCCTACAAACAAGTTTCTCTTTGAGATGATGAAGCTATTCTAAGATTCCATCAGCTTCTGTGGCTGCAAACGAAAACACATTTTTCTTCTCTAACAGGATCCATGGGAGACCTGCTGGACCTGAACCTGGACGCAACTGTATGTCTGTCATGTCCCCCAGAATACCTTATGTCTTTAGAAGAAATGCGGTCTCTGAACTAAGGAGGTGAGCAGTTAGTAACATGAACTCTTTGATTTAACTGTTTAATGTTGTTGGATATAAACTGCAGTGCAAACATGCCATTTCCTCAATCCCATTTAAACTGTCTCTTAAAAACAAGCCTTTGGTTTCTAAACAGCGGAAAATCCACTTCAGCAAACAGGAAGTGATGCTCGTGCTCATGTTTTCTTCCATCAGTCATGTTATGCTGGATGTTGGAGAAAGTTAGGGTAAACTCAGTTAAGTAAAAACACTTACACTCAAAACTCAACCTGACCATCAGAACTGGCTTCTTAAATTACATTCAGTCTGAACATTAGTTTTCATAGAAAAGCATGCTGTTGTTTGGCTTTAATGCAAAGAAGACAGGTTTCTACCAGGAAATTAAAGCACAAGACAGTTTCTAAAGAAATTAAATATCAGCTGTTACTCAAATTAGTTCAATACACTCAGTAATGCATAATTGTGTGGATGTGTCTTTAAACACAAAGGAATCATCTTCTGCTGTTCAGTTGGATTAGTTACCTTTGATGCTTGAATCAATCCAATTATCAGTACTAGGAATTCAATTCTTTTTTTGCCCTGAAATGATCAAGTGTAAGCTTGTTCAGTTTAGATATGTTTCCTTGGGCCAAATTTAATAAAGAGGGAAAAATAATATGCATGTATCATCCCAAAATAGTATTTATAGGTGTGGCTATTTTTATGAATGATTTACAAAAGGGCCTCCTCCCGGTGGGACATGCCAGGAACACCTCACCCAGGAGGACTCCAGGAGGCATCCTTGTCAGATGCCCGAACCACCTCAACTGGTTCCTTTTGATATGGAGGAGCAGCGGCTCTACTCTGAGCCCCTCTTGGATGGCTGAACTTCTCACCCTATCTCTAAGGAAGAGGCCAGCCACTCTTCGGAGGAAGCTCATTTCCCCCGCTTGTATCCGTGATCTCGTTCTTTCGGTCACTACTATTGACCTGATTCTCTTACTCCTCAGGCTGGACAGAGAAGACGCAGACTCAGTGTACTCAAAATATATGCAATCACTAATAAAATAAATAAAATCAATAAAATCTTCTGGAAGGGAGATGTGCACCGCGCAAAGCCTCCTGCAAATCTAATGCATTACAGACAGGATGTGTGTTATATAGTCTACACCCCCACCCCTCATATCTAGTTTCTACGACCCAAAGGTCGTCTACTGTTGTTATCGTCTACTGTTGTTATCGTCTACCGGTGCCAATGTAGGTGATGTTCTCTCCAAGGTCTGCACTAAAAATCCTGTTTATCACAGTTTCATGCCACCAAGCAGACTAATAATCCAGTGTATAAACCTTCAAAGCTAGCCTTCAATATACTGGCCTGTTATTGAATGCATAAAAAAGAGCACTTAGCAAATAGGTACTTGGATTATGTTTTATGACAATTCCCCCTTTTGATCTCTCCTAATGAGAGATCAACTAATCCCAGATTTCAGTCATTAACACGTCCCGCATGTGCTCCTCCGGTTCCCCAGCCAACAGAGGCATCATGGGCCCCTGACCTTCCGGCACTGGGTCCATGATGCCTCTGTTGATGAGACACACCACCAACGCTCTAATGGAGGGAACGCAACAATACCCACATGTGACAGTAATAGCTAAGAATGTAGCAAGAGAAACCATAATAGACAAAACAAAACCTTTCCATTGCCCAAACACCAATGTCATCCACCCCTCCACAGGATTGTCAATTCCAGAATGCTCATGCACTGCTTTGGATAATGTTTTGAGGTCTTTCATTTCCCTCATCATCTCATGTGTGTATTTAAGTCCTCGGTCTTCCTGAATTGAGTGTCACGTCGCCTTGGTGAAAGCCTTCAGCCACTTGGCTACGCCTAGAAATTCTGTCCATAAAAATTATGAACAGAATCGGTGACAAAGAGCATCCCTGGTGGAGCACATCACCCACCTGGAACGAGTCCGACTTACTGCCAGCTATACGGACCAAGCTCTTGCAACGGTTGTATAAGGACTGAATGGCCTGTAACAATGGGCCAGACACCCCATACTCCCGGAGCACCCCCCACAGGACCCCCCGAGGGACACGGTCGAATGCCTTCTCCAAGTCCACAAAACACATGTAGATTGGTTGGGCAAACTCCCATGCACCCTCAAGAATCCTTGAGAGGATGAAAAGCTGATCTACTGTTCCACGACCAGTACGAAAACCGCATTGTTCCTCCTGTATCTGAGGTTCGACTGACAGACGAACTCTTCTCTTCAGCACCCTGGACTAGACTTTCCCAGGGAGGCTGAGGAGTTATTCGAATCCATTTAAAATATTTTTAATGAATGACAGGTTTGAGTTTACATTCTAATCAAAAGATTAGAACAACAAAAGCTTACAGAATTTTACTGTAAGATAAAAATGTACAATATTAGAGAAAGAAAACAACAATTAGATTATCCACTAAGAACAGCACTTGGTGACAGTGGGGAAAAAACCTAACTTTTAACAGGAGGACATCACTAACAGAACCAGAGGAGGAGAGTCTGAGAAGAGTAGAGAAAAGCTTCACTGGAAAATGACTAACAAATATTCTTTTCTCTCTATCTGTCAGTGCCGAACAGAATTCCTTGTGGTATTCCTCTCCTCTTTGCATCAAGAGCGTTTCTGAAATAGATTCCGGCTATGGATCCACGGGAAGTGTTCAGTGCAAGGACTCCTCAGTGTCCCGTCCTCCAGACATGTAAGCTGTAACTAAGTTGTGGATGTGACATTCATGCATCAAGAGTTGCTTTTCATAAAGTTTCTGAACACAAACAGCATGACGTTGTTTAGTGTTCTTCATATAAATCAGAAATATGTGAATCAGAATCACAGTCACAAACTTCAGATTGGTAAAGTGTCACAAACAGAGACACTGAGAGGCAAAAATTACATTTTATGTTTATTAAGGCTGCTAACAAACACAAATCAAAAGAGGATGCTCTGCCTATTAAAACAAACAAACAAACAAAAAGTTCATCAGCAATTCTGCTTCCAGGTCTAAAATTGTCACTGGCGAGGTGCACCGGTGTGATGATGAGGTGGACCCAGAAGCAGACACAGTGTAGACAAAACTAAATTTCAAAAATAGAGCGACCCTTTATTTGGCTGAAAGAATGAATAAACAAAGAAAATGGCAAACAAGACTCAACTATGAACAAAACTATGACTTTTTAAACTATGACCATGATGAGGAAAACATGGGGGTATGAATTGAATTTGAAATGTTTATTTCAGTCAACAACAACAGATTATAATTTTACATAAAAGTACCAAACAGTAACCGAAAAAGGAATAGGCTGAAGCTTTATGGCTTATACTTATCCTATCCCTTACCCCCATAGAAATAATCAAATCCTTAACCAAGAAAATAAATAGCATTGATAAATAAGTTGTATAACAGTTTGAAAAGAAATCAATGATAAATCAAAAAATTAAGAAATTAAATCAACACAAACCTTTTTTAACAAACCAAATTTCTATAACCTTGTATAATACTAATTTTTAAAATCTTCCTGAAGAATGACAAAGAAAAGGGTATGTAGGTAGACGACGTGACACTCAATTCAGGAAGACTGAGGACTTAAATACATTCTTGGGGGGATGAGGGAAATGAAAATACATGAGGAAACAGGTGATACTAATGAACACAGAGACATTACAGGGAAAAGTAACTCTAAGAACAATGAACAAAGAAACAAGACCTTCAAAATGATACAGGAAACATAACGAGACACAGACATGACTCAAACTTGACAACAAAAAAACTTGGACATGAAAAACGACAGATAAACATACGTAGACTTAACATGACGAACTAACACGGAAAACTTAACACAGGGATGAGACAAAAGGGAAGCTTGATAAACCATGAACTAAAACTGTAACCTAGGCATGACAGAATGTAACTAGATAAACTACAATGAAACTAGACACAAATGAACAACAAAACATCAAGAAACTCAGAACACTGGGTCATACGACCCAGGACCATGACAGTACCCCCTCCCCTAAGGGCCATCTCCGAGGGCTGTAACCAAAACAAGGGAAAACCAGCCATGGGTGGGCAGAGGGGCCAGAAACAGACCCATCCCAGAAAACCAAAAATCCCAACTTGGAACCCCAGAGCAAAGACTGAACACATGAGACCAAAAAAACATAACTCTGGGGCCAAGGCACAAAGTCCAAAACTCAGTTTCAGGAGGCCGGCCCAGAGGCTGGCAGCACAAGAGTCCGTTATTACTCAGTTCGCAAGGTCGACCCGGAGGTCGACAGCTTAGCAGTCCATGACCATATGGACCATATGGACCTGGCACCTGCCATGCCGCACAGCAGGCTCCTCGGACCCTCCAGCTGACAAGTCATGATACTGGACAGCCTCCTCTGACCCTCTGAGGTCACATATAAGTGCTTCCATAACCTCACTGAAATCTTCCATGGCATCCATTTTTAATATCTCTTTGCTATTGGGCTGATTGTGAAAACAAAGAATCAACAGATTTTTTTAAAGCTGTTTTTTGTTTCAGACAAAAATGAGATGCACATGTGAGGACATTCATTTTGAATTTCAATAGAAAAGTGGCAGTATAATGTCCCGATAAGTGGATATCAGGCCACTGCTACCATCATCAGTGCATCATCAGTGCAAAATTTAGTCTTTTGGTCTGGACAACCCAAAATGTGATGTCCACACATATGGATGCCAGGTCCTAAGAGGTTAAGTTTGTATTAACAAAGTCAGAGATGCTGCTGTTGTTCATTTGATTATTTTTAACATTGTATGCTAACCAACAGCAGTCACAGTTTAATATGTATTGTTCTATTTTGATGGAATAGAATAAATATTATAAAATGAATGATTTTCTACTTCCCAATTTGTCTTCATTGAGTTGTCAGTCATATGACAATAACGCAGACCTAATCATAAAATAACTCAGACATAATCATGGAAGTAATCTTAATGACAAATGAATGTTCAGACTTTCAGAGGACAGAAGGAGACTGACAGGTGACTCTCAGTGATGTCAGCTGACAGCAGAATGATTCAGTGCACTAACATGAGGATCAGAGTGTTTGCTGAGGAAATACACTGGTCCCTTAATAGTTTCAACATGAAATAATTAAAAATCAAATATATGGCCCACTGTTTGTGTGACAGAGGCAGGAATGTTTCTGTGTGCATCTGGAGAAATCTGCTGTTAAATCAGAACATCAGCAGGTTTCAGGTGGCATTAAAACTCATGAAAACAACACTGCACTCACTCAGAGGTCAGAGATCATGTAGAGTAACCACACTGACACAGAGAGAAGAAAAACAGCTGGCAGCAAAGGCAAGGAGGTTTCCTTCTCAGCTAAACAGAAGATGAATATAAAGATAATGAAGGTCACAGTTTGAATCAGTCATGTTTCATTCAATACAATGGTGCACTGACAGATCCAGGATCAGTCCAAATCATCAGCATTTTGATCCATATGTGGATTGAAGTGTATTTGTGAAAATGTTGGACTGTTCCTTTATCAGTGTGTAACAGTGTGTGTATGAGAGCCGTGTAATGTCCATGTGTGCATGCTGACTGTGCTGCTCTGACCCCCCTCCTCCTTTCAGGGTGGAGCCTGCTGGAGTCCGATGGTTGAGACCAGGTCTGAGGAAGTGTAAGTGTGTTTTTAATGGGATTCATGAAAACAAAGCAGCACACATTCAACCATCTTCATCATGTCAGGAGTCATCATCAAAGTGTCAATCAATGAACAGATGATGGATCAATAACTGCAGCTGGATTGTGTTTGTTCTCTCCATCAGATTCCTATCAACTCACAATCGACACAAACACAGTGAACACAAAGCTCCAACTGTCTGACAACAACAGGAAGGTGACACGTGCGGAGGAGGTTCAGTCATATCCTGATCATCCAGACAGATTTGATATCCATGAACAGCTGCTGTGTAGAAATGGTCTGACTGGTCGCTGTTACTGGGAGGTCGAGTGGAGGGGACATGTTTATATATCAGTGAGTTACAAAAGAATCAGCAGGAAAGCAAACAGTTATGACTGTTTGTTTGGATACAACAAGCAGTCCTGGAGTATGTACTGCACTGATGATGGTCCTTGTTCTGTCTGGCACAATAACAGAGAAACGCCTATCTCCTCCTCCTCCTCCTCTGTCTCTAACAGAGCAGCAGTGTATGTGGACTGTCCTGCTGGCACTCTGTCATTCTACAGAGTCTCCTCTGACACTCTGATCCACCTCCACACTTTCAACACCACATTCACTGAACCTCTTTATCCTGGGTTTAGAGTCAGGTTTCCTCAATCCTCAGTGTCCCTGTGCTGAGTGGAGTGTAAAGAGTGTCCTCCTGTTAGAGAAACACTCTGACTGTGGAACAGATAGTTCAGTCGATACTGTGTCGACACAGTGTTGCTGTTTTGCTCCATACTGACACCTGCTGGACCTTAAATATCATTGCAGGCAACTTACTTGAGACTCACAACAGACACTGATTCAAATACCTAGTCATACTTGTACACTGTAAGGTATTGTACTTTCCATTGAATCATTTTATATCTTTTATGTTGCAAATATTATAGACATCTTTAAAATATATTGTGAAAATTAAAATGAAAGTATTGTGAATGTAATATTACCCATTTGACTCAGAGTTTATTATAAATTTCTATTCAGAAAGATAAGTTTATTCAATGTTTTTGCATTCAGTCTATTGCGTTTTTTTTTTTTTACACCATTTCCACAGCTTTGGAAAACTCACAGGCACAGATGAAGCTGTGCACAAGAAGGTACACAAAAACTGTAAAGACAGGGGGAAAAGGTTCTGATAAGATGTCTTCCTATTCCCCCAGTACGTTAAAGGATCCTCTGATCGTGGAATGTTTCTCTTCGACACTCTCCACAATACTAAGGGGTTGGCAGCCCTTTATAATAAAATTCAGGACTGCCTGGTCCAGAACAGTCTTCCTAGATGCTTCATTTCAAAATAATAAAACACATATTAATAAAAAAAAATGACGATAAAGCTGTTCAGTGTCTATATAGGCCAACCTGTGTTCGTTCTCGGTGTGTTTGTCTCATTTTCATGTTTGGCTCTGTAATGCCTAAACACTGAGGAGGTGCTTTTGTTTGTGTAAGAAAGCTCCGCAGAACAGATACGACATTTAACCGACATAAAATGAAATAATTAATTTACACTTCAAGTCACATTGCTGTTTTTCCTATTCTGATAGATTACACTGAAACAAAGACAAACTATTACACTATTTTATTTGCAGTTAAAAGATCAAAATGATCCCACACAGCAGAAACATTTCTTTTTCTTTCAGGCTCCATTTTGTTATGCAGAGATGTTTTTTTTTTATCTTTGCGAGAGTAATTTTGTGGGGGGTTTTTGGTGGCGACTCATTCCGTTGTTAGATGCGGATGCGGTACCTTTTAAACACAGTTTGGCGCGTTGGCAATGAGCAATACAGCAGCTGTATCGATCACGTGACTTTTTCTTAAAGCGACGCACGCACCGATACAGGCATCGCTGGGTGAGCTTGATACATGTGTCGGTGCGTCAGTGTTGCTGGACCCATCACTATCAGTCTGTACATGTCTGTCTCTTTCACTCACAAACACATTTTCAGATTCATGGATTCAATCAGTTGATGTTTGAAACTCTTCTAAATGACTCCTTGTAAACTTCTTTCTCTTCAGTCCTTTAAAGATGGAAGCTCCCATTATTCCAGGATCCACATGTTGTTTTCTGTCTTTTTCCTCTCAAAGCTTCACAGTGAATCTCAGTATGTTGTGTTTCTCTGAAGCTCAGTTCACAACCAGCTCCTCTGCATTTTCTGCATGTCTGAGCTCATTAAAATGAGTCCAAATGTTTGATTTCTTTTTCTTAATGGGATGTTTCCATCATGGCTGAATAAGTGAACATCCAATAGTACTCGGTGTATCAAATATTAAAGACATTCAGCATCTCTCATGTTTCTGTCATTCTATAAAAACAGCTGCTTTTAAAAACTGATCCAATAAAAGAAACATGAACTTCCATATTGATCAGATGATAAATGGAGTGATTCTTATATAGCGCTTTTCTACTCTCCCGGGGTACTCAAAGCACTCTATACAACATGCCTCATTCACAGAAGCACTTCTTTTTTTTTGGTTTGTTTGTGTGTTTGTTTGTTTTTTGCCTGTCCCGTTTGGCTCTTTTGCCATCAGAATTATTGTCGAAAGATGCCCAACGGATTTACTTTACCAAATGGACCATCCCAGCCTTGCCGTAATGGTCTATTTGATTCACCTTTTATTGTTTATTTTATTTTCACTTTCTAAATACATGACACACTTGACTAGGGAAAAGAAAAGGGAGAAAGAAAGAGGAAAAGAAAAACAGCAGGGAAGAGGGACGGGGATAAAGGGCAAAAAACAAAAATTCACAAAATAAACAGACAAAAAATACATATATCAATCACCTGGATCACCTGTTGAGAAAGTCAAAAGAGAAAACAAGCAGAAGAAAAAAAAGAGCAACATAATAAACAACATCACGATGATATATGGGAATATAACAGTAAATACTAAATATTAAACATTATTGTGCAGCA